TTTTGAGCAGTTTCTTTGCTTTTCACAATATCTATTGTACCTTTTGGATCTTATTTATTCTTTTAGTTTCTTACATTAGGAAGACAATACAAAGTTTGCACATGAGAGTCTGATTTATTTCACTTATGAATATGGTCCTAGTCGCATCAATTTACCTATAAGGAGCTTGAGGTTATCCTTCTTTATAGCTGAGTAACACTCCATTGTATAAAAACACCTTTTTTATCCATTCCTCATTTCATGAGCATTTGTGTTCTTTCCAAGATCTAGCTATTACAAATTGTGCTGCTATAAACATGGGCATATATTGTGGTGGTGTGCTGTTTTTAATTCTTCTGGGAAAATACCCAGAAGGGGAATAGCTGAGTTGAATGAGATCTCTAATCCTGGATTACTGAGGAATCTCCAGACTGATTTCTACAGTGATTGCACCAGTCTACACTCCCAGTACCAGTGGATAAGGGTTCCTTGTCCCCCACAGCCCTCCCAGCATTTGTTATGGGTTTATTTCTTGATGATAGCCATTCTTTCTGAGTTGGGATGGAAGATCAGTGTTGTTTTAACTTGCATTTCTTAAATGACTAATGATGTTGAAAATTTTCTTATGTACTTATTTGCCATTTGTATTTCTTTATCTGAGAAGTGTGTATTCATCTCAGGTGACCATTTCTGGATTGGGTCTTTGAATTTTGGAGGCCTGATTTTTTAAAAGTCTTTATATGTTCTAGACTGAAGTCCTTTGTCTAAGGGACAGTTGGCTAGAATTTTTTCCCATTTCATGGGTTGTCTTTTTACTCTGTTGTCATTTTTATTTGATGTGCAAAAACTTTTCAATCTGACAAGAATCCAGTTAACTCTTTGAAGTATTTCCCATGCAGTTTGGTTTTGGTTCATGAACTCTCTGCCTAACCCTCATTCTTCAAGATTTCTACCTACTTTCTCTTCCAGTACATTTAGTGTTTCTGTTTTAATATTTAGATCTTTGATCCATTTTGACTTTAGTTTAGTGCATGTTGATAGACATGGGTCTAGTTTTAGTCTTTGGCATGTGGAAAGCCAGTTTTTCCAGCACCACTTATTAAACAGGCTATATTTCTTCCAGTGAACATGTTTGGCCCCTTTGTCAAAGATAAGGTGGCTGAATGTGCTTGTAGTTGCATCTGTATCTTTTAATCTGTTCCAGTGATCCTCGGGTCTGTTTTGTTTTTTTAGTTTTTTTTTTGTTTTGTTTTTTGTTTTCCAGTGCCATGCTGATCTCATCACAGTAGCTTTGTAGTATAATTTCAAGTCAGGGATTGTGATGCCTCCTGCCTTTCCTTTGTCACCCAGGATTGCCTTTTCTATTCTAGGTCTCTTCTAGTTCCAGATGAATTTTAGCAATGTTTTCTCTAGATTTGTGAGGCAAACTAATGGTATTGTAATTGGGATTGCATTGAATCTGTACAATAATTTTGGGAGTAAGGCCATTTTCCCAATGTTGGTTCTTCCTATCCATGAACATGGAATAACTTTCTATTTTCTGAACTCCTCTTCAATTTCTTTTTTTGGAGTGCTGTAATTTTCAATGTATAGATCTTTTACATCCTTTGTTAGATTAATTCCTAAGTGGATTTTTTGAAAAAGAGACTTATGTAACTAAAATCTGGAGGGTTTTCAATATATTTGTCTTCCACTTCAAGATTTTAGGGACTAATTTTTTACCCTAATTTACTAGCCAGTAAGAAATGTGGTAACTGACTTTCATGAGTTAGAGTATAAAGAGGTATTGGAATGCGTAACTCTACTGGAAATGTTTTACAGTTATTGTTATAGAATAGTGCGTTACCAAAACCTGTAAAGAGTAGCAGAGCCTTGAGCTACTGATTTTATAAATACTTTCACCGTGTTTAAAAGTGATAGCCAGATTTTTGTCTTGTAAGCATTTTTCAGGTTTGAGTTGCTGGATCAAAATACCCAACACCTTTAACTTAAAGGAGAAGTTCATTT